GTTTGAGACCAGACAAACATTGATGGAGGATCAGAATAGAAAAACTGGAAAGGACGCTAAAGGTCAGGAACCTGTCTCATACAAAGAGTGGGGATGGAAGGGATTAACAGACATTAATCCAGCTACAAAAGCTATCAGATGGCTGTAGGGAGTATCAAGAGCACAGACCTGAAGGTGATGATATGGGGATTAAGGAACAAACCATCCACTCAGGAAGATGAGCTCTTCCATACTGAAAGAAGATGATAAAATCCAGCACTGCTCCCTACTCCCCACCCCGCAGAGAGGCAGCAGTCCTTCCACCCACCTCTGTCTATGCAGGTGCTTCTCTCCACCCGCTCTCTCCCTGTAGGGCAGCAGCCTCCTGCCTGCCTGTGACCTGTACCATGCTGGGCTTCTCTGCCCTAACCTCGCTCAGTGGACGCAGCTTTCCTCAAAGCTGCCTGCTGCAACCATGCAGGCCTCTTTCAGCAAACCTGTCCCTTTTGGGGCACCTCTTCCTGCCTACTTGTGTCTATACAAGTGTCCTTTACTTTTCTGTCCCTTTCTCTAATAAACCTGATCTTTTAAATATAACTAACATCTCTGCCATGGAGAAACTGCCTGGGAAATTCACCTTGTGCCGTTGAAAGGGAAGCTTTGGTGAAACCTTTTCCGGAGTGAACCCAAAGACCCTGCACTCCAAATCCACGAACTCCAAAAACATCACATCATATACTAATCTCAGCAGAATTATCAAACAAAAACCAATATAAGGAAGACATAAGAGAGCAGAATCGGAACATACACAAAACAAAGACCTCAAAAAAGAAAAACAAGGAAAAAATACACACAAACTGGCAGTGATCGATTATATCAACAATCCTCTTAAACAAATGGTTTGAACTAACCACTCAAAGGGTGCAGAGGGCTGAATGGATTTCAAAACAAAGTCCAATATTCTGTTTACAAAAAACACATCTCAAAAACAAAAACAGACTTAAAGACTGGAAGACACTCCTACAAAAGACACCAACCAAAGATTAAGTAACTGTTAAAACAGACTTTCAATTTTAAAAGGTAAAAAGAGAGGGACAGATATTAAGACTAAGGGTCCAATATAAAAATAAAGAAATAAAAGTCATAAATGCACCAAACGATGGAGTATCAAGATATATAAAACAATTACTCACAAAACTTAATGAAAGATATGACACAAACACAGTAATTCTGGGGTATGTTTTTCATGGGGGGGGTATGTTTTCAATACTCTGTTTACAACTATGTAAAGGTCCACAAGACTGAGATTAAATAAGGAAATAACAGCCTTAAATGAGAAGTTAGACAAACAGGGTTCAGGGACATCCATAGAATACTCCACACAAAAACTGCTACACATACATTTTCTTCACCTGCACAGGAAAATTCTCAAGAATACGCCATATGTTGGGACACAAATCAGTTTTCAATAAAACTTCAAAGATCAAAGTTATTCCAAGGACAGTCTCTGACCATCATGCCATAAAGTCACGAATCAACTAAAGAAGAAAAAAGCAACATAGGAGAAACTATAAACACATGGAGACTACACATTATGCTGCTTAGTAGGTATTGGATAAGAGGAAATTAAAACAGATAGAAAAAATAGGTTATACTGGGGCCTCCCTATCACTGCCACGGCTATGGCCTGAGATCAACCCCCCACCAGGGAGGTGACCTACATACATGGCATAGCAGATCTCTCTTGACCAGCCTGCTGCTCCCCTCAGCAGTGTATTTTAGTAAATCTGCCTGTTCTGCCCCCCATTCCATCTCTGGTGAATATTCTCATTCACCCCCCACATCTCTGGCCTATATCCAGGTTCATTTATACATAAATAAATAAATGAATCTTTAAAAAACCACCCTAGAGGAATATATCAGACTTACAGAATAGAGCAAATGCAGTCTTAAGATGGAAGAAAATTGCAATGCAGACCCACATTAAAAAGAAAAATCTCAAGTAAACAATGTTTTATTACCTAAAGCAATTTGAAAAGCATGAACAAGACCCAATGTTAATATTAATAGAAAGGAAATAGTGAAATGGAAGAAATAAATGAGAGACTATATAAAATATCAATGACACTAAGAGTTAGTCCTTTAAGACAATAAACAAATAGACAAACACCCAGCTAACAAAGAGGAACATTAATAAACAGAATCAGAAATAAGGGAAAAAGTTGCCACAGATATCAGAGAAACACGAAGGACTATAACAGATTATTACGAACCAACAATATGAAAACAAATTTGATATCCCTGAAAAAGTAGACAAATTCTTTTATCAATATAGTTTACCAACACAAAGTAAAGAAGAAACAGAAGAGGTAAACAAACTTATCACAAACAGGAAAACTGAAAATAGTAGTTGAAAGTCTCTCTAAAACAAAAGCTCACAATCATTTGGCTTTAAAGCAGATTTTGTTAAACTTTTAAGCAAGAACAAATGCCCATATTCTTCACTTTTTTAATACAAAAACAGTGAATATTTCCACATATATTTTATGATGCAAACTTTATACTAATATAGAAATCAAATAAAGATAGCACCAGAAAAGAAAATTTCTCTGAAGAACAGAGAACATCAATGTAAAAATCCTAAAGACTGGAAGCATCATCAAGTGGGATTTATCTCAGAGATGCAAGAATATATGTGAGTATATCAATGTAATAAAGCATATCAACAAAATAATGATATAATCATATCAGCAATAATAGCAGAGAAAGCATTCAGCAGCCACTTATGATAGAAATCCCAAATAAAATGGCAATAAGAAGGAACCTATATAATAAAGATCATATAGTATAAACCAATAGACAATATATTACTTAGAGATGAAAAACGGAAAGTTTTCCTCTTAAGATTTGGCAGAAAACAAGGGTACTCACTGTCACTACTTCTGTTTAACTTAACATTAGAGGTTTTAGCTAGAGCTATCAGAAATAATAGGAAATAAATGTAATGCAAGTCAGTAAAGAAGTGAAATTGCCAGTATTTATAGAAGTTACACTTGGAAAACCCTAAATAAATCACTGGAAAGTAATTAGAAACAAACATTAACACAACAAAGTGAAAGGTTGCAAAATCAACACAAAAAACTCTGTTGCTTTGTTAAATATACACTAAACCAAGAGAAAAAATCTAGAAAAATAACTTCATTTATAATTGCTTCAAAAATAACCAAGCATCTTGGAATTAACTTCACTAAAGAGGTGCCACACATACACAAGGAGAACTACAAGATATTACTAAAGTACTTACAAAGTAACATAAGGAAATGAGAGAACAGCCTATGTCCATGAATGGGGAAAATCAATATAGCCAAACTTACTATCCCTGCCTGAAGTGATATATAAACTTAACACAATCCCCAACAAAATAACAATGATATTTTTCAAAGAAAATGACCAAAACCTATTGAAATTTACATGGAATCCAAAAGGCCTAATAGCAAGGCAATTCTGACAACAAAGGAGAGCAACAGAAGCATCACTTTACCTGACTAAACTCTGTTATAATGCGACAGTATTGAAAACAATATATTAGCACCAAAAACAGATACATGGATCAATGGGATAGAACTGAAAGAATAGAATGAAATAAATCCACACATATAATGCATTAAAGATTTAGATGGGGGCCCTCTCTGGTGGCACAACAGGTTAAAGCACTGCACCATGAAGTGGCTACCGCCACTTCAGTGAGAGTTCTATCCCAGCCAGGGAGGTGACCCACAATGGCATAACAGACCCACCTGACCCGCCCGCTGCTCCCCTCAGCAGTGTATTTCATCCATCTGCCTGTTCTGCTCCCCACTCTGTCACTGGTGAATCCTCTCAGTGCCCCTCCACCTCTGGCCTGTACCCCAGTTCTGTATGCACAAATAAAAAAAAACCCTTTTTAAAAAAACTACAAAAGGACAAACCTTACGACGTAGCAATCTCATTTTTGGGAATCTATCTAAACAATGTAAACCAACAACATAAAAAAATACATGCATACCAATTTTTTTTCTTTTATTTATTCGTACAGAACTGGGGTAAAGGCAAGAGATGCAGAGGGTGAGAGGATTCACCAGGGACAGAGTGGGGGGCAGAACAGGCAGATCAATGAAGTACAGTGCTGAGGGGAGCAGTGGGCAGGTCAGGAGAGGTCTGCCACACCATGTGGTCACCTCCGGGGCCAGCGGGAATCGAACTCATGCAAAAGTGGCTTAAGCTTCTTAGTGCTGTGCTTTAACCCGCTGTGCCACCAGGGAGGGCCGCATACCAATTTTTATTGCAGCTCTATTTAAAATAATTCAGTAATGGAAACAGACTAAATGTCTGCCAACAGAGGCCTGGATCAAGAAGATGTGGTGTATATACACATTGTAATACTATTCAGTCATAAGGAAGATGAGAAGATGAATTTTTCTGTTAAAGTTACTTACAGAAAAATTAAGGAAGTTCGAGGAAATTATGTGTAGCAAAGCAAGTGAAGATGACAAAGACAAATACTAGAAATTTACATAGTACACGTTTGGACAAAATAAAATATAGTAACAATCACATTAATAAACACTGTGAGGGCCCTGAGATTAAGAATGAGGAGTGCAGGAGAACTGGGATAGAAAAAGTAAGTCATCCATAGGTGCTTATTCCATGCCTTAAACATGGATTGGGCAAAAATATAAAGTACCTAGGACAACAATGATGAACCAAGAGAGTGTAGGGTCACTATGGCCAACAGAGTGGTTAGCTTTGACCCCATCTATCATAAATCCAGGTAACTTTCAATTCCTGTTCTACAGCCAAATGGGTCACTGAAAATATGTATCGTTCTCTCTGCTTAACATTCCTGAAAGCCATCATCATAAACTTTCCACTGACCTCAGTATATTCCTGGAAAGTTGTTCAGTTGATAGATTTTAATATGATTTACTTAAACAGAAAAAGGACTAGAGTCCTGACCAATACTATTTACAATATCCTCTTACCTTTTTCTGCCGGGCTCAAAACAGTCACTGTGAAAAGAGGGAGAGGTAAAAGTTAGTGACATTAAAAAATTTTTTTCCAATCCATTTTTCTATAGCATCATTTAAGCAAGTTAATCAATGGTATTTTAGGAAACCATTAGGCTGTTAAGTTGAGGAAAGGATAATTAAATTCTATTCTTTGCTATCTTCCTTCATCTTAAACCTTGCATAATTAAAAGTTTATACTCATTCAATGTACTCATTCAATGCAGGTATAACCTGGTATATTAAAAAAAAAAAACCAACAAATGGAAATACTTAAGCTTTATAACATGATAGGAAAAACTTCCTAACTGATAAATTAGGAGATTCATTTTCCCAAAGTATTCACTGCAGAACATCTTTAAATACCAAGCTTCTCTTGTATATTGAGAATACTGTGTGTAGATTACAAGCCAGTAATCTACACTTCCACTCTTTCGTGACCTTAGACAAGTTCCTTAACTTCCCTATCAGTAAGTACCTCACAAGATTACTCAAGAATTGAATAAACTAATGTTTAGAATAGTATCTAGCATAAGGCAAGTATTTATTGAATATTAATTATTATTACATTTGAACTAAGATTTCATAGAAAAGTCAGAACTGGAAGGAACTTTGACATCTAGTTTTCTCTCTCATTTTATAGATGAGAAATACAGACTAGAGTAGTATCAAATGATTTGTCCAAGTTCACAGGATAAGTTAATAGGAGAGTTGGAACTAAATTCCAGATTCCAGGGCTTTTTCCATGTACTACATTGACTTTTCCCAAACATTCCTTGGTTACTGTCATTCTTACATATATATACATATAACATATATACACATATATATATATATATATAATACACATACACACACATACCTAGATATATGTTTTGTTCAGAACACCATCCATACAGTTTTACCATCCCAATATCTGAGCACACTTGTACTAGGTGCTAAAACAAAGGATGGGGTGGTCCTCCCTGGTGGAGCAGCGGGTTAAAGCATTGCACTAAGAAGCTTAAGCCACTTCCGCATGAGTTCGATTCCCGCCTGCCCCAGAGGAGACCACATGGCGAGGCAGACCTCTCCTGACCCACCCGCTGCTCCCCTCAGCAGTGTACTTTGACGATCTGCCTGTTCTGCTCCCCACTCTGTCTCTGGTGAATCCTCTCACCCTCCGCATCTCTGGCCTGTACCCCAGTTCTGTATGAATAAATAAATAAATCTTAAAAAAAATAAAAATAAATAAATAAAACAAAGGATGGGTATCAATATTAAATTAATTTTCATACATAATGTTAAATACCAAAGGGTCAGAAAAGTAGGCCAAATATCCAAAGCAAATGGTAGTATATTCTAGGGAGTATTTTCTCAGATCTGTCACCATTCATGTCTTCTCTTTATTTGCCAGTCTATTTTTGTTGAATCTTTAAAGTCTATCCTTTTTGGTCATTTGAATGAACTTTGCTATAAACCAACTGATGTTGTAGCACTATTTGCAAGAGCCACAACATGGAAACAACCAAAATGGCCCAAAATACATGAATGGGTCAAAAAGTTGTGGTATAGTTATATAATAGAATATTACTCAATGATCAAAGAAGACAAACTTAACATTTGCAGCAACGTGGATGGAGCTGGAGGGGATTTTGCTAGCTAAAAATAGAAGAAAAAGACAAAAACCAGATGGTCTCACTTATATGTGGAATATAGAAATAACAAACTAAAGGTCAAGAAAAAGTAAAATTTGGCAAAGATGACCACAGATCTGAGGCATACAGCAAGGGAGGAGAAGAAAAGGGCACATGACAGGGGAGGATGAACACAAGGGAATGTGGTTATACGGTTCATGGATGATAAGGGGGCAGGAGAACTATGGCCTACAATGATATAAGAAAAAATCAACTGATGTTTACTTTTTCCAGTACACCTGCCTAAAGATTGGTACTGATTCCTTTCCTTTTCAAAGAATCCTGGTTTAAGAAATACAAACTGTACTTAATACAGATGAAGTTGAAACAAGGATCCTTGATTGGGTCACATGGGTCACTTCATGATTTTGCGCCTTTGTTCCACTAGGCCCTGGACTGGGTTTATAACATCTCTACATCTCTTTAAAATGGAGTGAGCGAGAGCAGACATGCTTGGAGACTGACAAAGCCCAGTTGACAAACTGCTATTTGGTATATCTCCTTCTACATTTGTGGCTGAACACTCAGTGTTAAATGAGAAGTGAAGGTCCTAACACCCATTTGCTTGGCAACAGCTTATGGATCCATGATTGAAGGAAGGAGGTGACTCCAAGTTTTGTGATATCTGTTGGAGACAATGTATATACAGAAAAATGAGTGGGAAACAGTGACAGCTGTAGATGGTAAGAAGCTGTCTTTAATTTCAAGACTGTCATACAAATGGGATTGATTGGTATGACTCAAAAACAAAAGAGAAATAAGATCAATGGGTTAAAGCTGCAGGTTGATATATTTTAGCCCAATATAAGGAAAATGATGATGATGATGATGATGATGATGACGACAATGATCATCCAGACAGGTAGCACTGAGAAGGAGTGAGGTTTCTGTTAACAACACTTGGAAATGTTGTAGAGGACATTTAGACATTAGTTAGACAATGTACTTAACTTTTAAAGTCTTCCTTCAATCCTGAAATCTGTAAGGATTCAATAAATATAATGGTAAAATGTTTCCTTACAAGATTCCCTTTTGAAAATTATATGCTTCTGAAAAAAAAAAAACCTTTACTTTAAAACAGGCTTTCTTTAATGTTTCTAATATTGCCTTTTGCATTATTAAAGGAAGAAGGCAAAACTACTTCATATTTAGGATTTTACTTATTTACATATACAAAAGCTGGGGTGTAAGCCAGAGGTGCTGTGGGAGTAGGGTAGGATGATTCACAAGAGACAGATTACAGAGCTGAACAGGCAGATCCACTGAAATACACTGCTGAAGGGAGCAGCAGGCAAGACAGGAGAATTCTGCTGTGCCATAAGGGTCAGCTCCCTGGCCAGGGATGGAAATAGTGCTGCAGTGGCTGGTGATAGCTTCATAATGCTGAGACTCAATCCTTTGTGCACCAGGGAGGCACAAAAATACTTCATATTTACAATGAGAGCATTGCAAGAGTCATGCTGACAACATTTACAAAAATGAATCCTTTTAGGTAAGTGCATAAATAATCATACATACCATGAGTAACTGGCCAAATATAATTATAGAGTGATATGGAGATAATATGTAATCACATACCTGTTCTGTACCTTCAAATTTTAGTTTGCCATTGGGGAACAAAGTAACTGAATTATCATCAAATAACTTTTCAGTGTCTCCTGTCTTTTCCCTCATCTATCCACTAATTCTTAGCAACTAGGTATGGAAAAAAGGTATTAGAAGGATGGGATATATTCAAAGAGTTTTCATCACAGACAAATAGTGTTAAAACCAAAGCAGATTTTAAAAAGATGTACATTAAAGAGTTCACAGAAAGGTGTTGGTGGAATAAGCCTAATATGATAGTAGATGGGAAGGGCCAACAAAAGTAATAGAAAGGACATGGAAGAAATCCAACAGTGATGTCCAACAGAAATATAATGTTAGTCATGCACACTTCAAAGACTAATACCAAGTGAAAGTAAATTTAATTATGTCTTATTTCATCACAAGTATCACTTTTAAATTTTATTCACGTAAATTCTGAGATTTTATACATTTTCTTTTTTTACAACCTTTGTAAAAGATGGTATATATTTTATGTTTCTAGCATATCACATAATCACAATGGCTTAAAAATCTTTTTAACACCAAGTAAATTTATTTGACACCCACTTTTCCCAATAGATGTCTCTTGGACTGTAAGCTAGAAGATAGACTAGAACTTGAGACTGGGAACTGAGACTTATTTCTCATTATGATTTGGTTGTGGAAAGTAAACTAATGGTGCCAGTTTTCATTTACTCTGAAAAAGCTATTCATATAAGCTATTCATTTACCTTTCAGGTAGACATTCTGAAACCTGGATGATTTTGATACCCACCCAGGAACAGATTTTAAAAAAATAAATAAAAGTCCTTCTTTCTAACAACAAATCTCTGGACAGTGGTCAGGAATTTGTATTTTAAAAATTTAGCAGGTGATTCTATTAGCCAGGTCTAAGAAATAATGCAGTTATTTTAGATGTTTGGTATCATATCCAACCAGTCAAGTGTCACATCTATTCCTGTTTCACTTACAGATGACATAGCACTATTGTAGATATGCCAATACCATGTTTTGGATAGCTTTTAATTCTGTAGAAGCTTGGTTTACAGAAAATATTCCTTCTATAGTATTAACTTATCAATTTTCATTTATTCTCTCTTTCAAAAATTTATATAGTTTCTGAGTGAGAATATTTCTTAGATATTTCAAATTTTTTAATGTTAAAATGGGTGCCACTGGTCACCAAAAACAGTAGAGAAATCTAGTGTTTTGCCTAGAATTAAAAGTGTCATGAATTAAATTACCAAAAATGGTATCAAAATCAACTTCTGCACAACTCCAGAATCCATTATAAAAGGTATAACAATCAGGGGAAAGCCTTGGTGAAAAAAGGAGCTGTTGCTTTATGGTAAAAGAATGCTCGGTAGTATCAGGGGAAAGCCTTGGTGAAAAAAGGAGCTGTTGCTTTATGGTAAAAGAATGCTCGGTAGTATCAGTTGCCTGCCAACTAATCTCTATACCCAAGAATGAGAATCTTGGTGTGCATTCCTGCTGCAAGTTTCTAAAGAACTGTGGTTCTGAGACTTCACTGTCTGGAAACTCCCTCAAAGACCTATACAAAGGCTTCTGTATGGTTTGCCAGACTCAGTATTCCTAAGCCTGGGACACCTTCTTGAGTGGTTAGCTGAAAATATTTACAGACACAGATATCAGCTGCAGATCCCTGGAGCAAAGACACACTTGCAGGATTGGAATGCATGCTCAAAATGAAAAGCCTGAGAAGACCCTAAGCACTCACCT